TGTGTGTGTGTGTGTGTGTGTGTGTGTGTGCATGTCTTGAGGCACTCACACACTTGTGGTTTGGAGGTCGTGGGTGGGGGCGGGCGGGGACCTACCTCTTTGAAGGGCAGTGGTCGTTGCTGCCTCTTTCTGATGGGAAGGGAACCGTCTCCCGCCGTTGGCTTCCCTGCAGTTTTACTCAGGTCACAGCCTTTGATGCCCATATGAAACTGACGCAATGAAATGTAACAGATCATCTCTTTATGTGACGAAGCACGGGGAGTCATTGCAGGGTCTTCAGAGCAGGTTCTTGGAATTCGCATCCTTGGAATTCTCATCCTCAATCCGGCTGTCACCTTGGGTTGCAGTTCTGAAGTGTGCCACATTCTCTTTGATCATCCGCTCCTCTCACTCCTTGATTTATCCCAATATATAGCACTTCTCGTTGTCTTTCAGTCTCTGCTGTTGGCCTGTGTCTGAGTGATGTGGCATCAATCAACTCTAAAGGATGTGGTGCTTACATGAAGTGTGAACAGCACATGGCGGAAGACAGGATAAAGTCCATCTCATGGCCTCAGGAACCACACGATGGACGATACTCACTCTTTTGCGTCTCAGGGCTCCATACCAGTCAATATCACTTGCTTGGATTGCACTCTGGGATTGAGTAGTTTTGCTATTTTTTGACACTGACGTAGAGGACAATGGTGGATGATTATGGGAGAGGTTTGTGGTGTTGAAGTGACTACCCTTATCTTGTGGATCGTCTTGTTTGATGCAGATTGATGGCACCTCAGCCGCCGACTTTGCAGCCACCTACTCTCCCAATTCCTGTTCGTCCCGGATGGCCGTCGACCACCTCTGCGGGATGGTCAACTACGACCAACTCTGGTCAGGGGTGGCCAAGCTTGAGACCAACCCCAGGGCAACCTCCCATCCTAGCCCCGCCTCCCCAGCCATTGCGTTTACCTCCTCCTCAACCTCTGTTTCCCATCCAAGGTGTCCGCCAACCTGGATCTAGTCCTCAGCAGCCACTTTTCCCTATTAATGGTCCATCAAGCGCAGGGACTCAGTCTGCACACTCCTCAATCCGGCCTGTCAATCCTATACACCCGCCTATTGCCCCGATTCCCCGGCCTCCATCAACGGATTCATCCACATCTTCAGCGTCACTTCTGACATCTTCATCTGGAGGGATGTCTATGGGGCAAGTAAGGTTATCGGGTCCACCGCCGGTAGTACTTCCTCCACCAAACATGCAGCCAAGGCTATACTCTTTTCCCCCACCAGGTATCAGCATAACACCGCCGTCCACAGATGCCATGTCTGATGCAGCTGCTCTTGGATCAACAATGGCGCCTCCTCCTCCGCCTCCTGGTGTAGGTCCGTCACTGTCGTCTGGAATGGCTGGCCCATTTCCACCGGGGGTTAATCCCTTGGCGCCTCCTGGAGGGCTTAATCAGGTAGTTCCCTCAGCATGTGGTCCGATGATGCAGAGAGGAGTATCTGTTGGGCCAAGGTCAATGATGCCACCTATGGTGCCTCCCCCTTCGGTACCACCTCCCTCATTGCTGTCCGCTTCTATGCTACCCCCGTCTGTTCCCCCTCCTACCATTCCCCCACTGTCCATGAACCCCCCTTCCATTCCTCCTCCCTCAGCAGCCCCTTCCCAACTGTCCCTTGCATCGTTGCCCCCACGTGCAATGCCCCCTGTGGCTCCTCCTCTTGGACCGCCCCCTCTTGGTCTGCCAGTTGTGCCTCCGTCGGGTCCTCTCCCGCCACCATCCTCTCCTTCACAGTCACATCATCAGCTCCAAGCTCAGCCCCCTGTGCCACCGCCACCGCCATATCAGGCAGCATCAAGACCTCAACCGTATGAATGTAAGTACTCTATGACAAATCCTGCCGTCCAGTTGGTGAGTCATTTGATTTGCTTCATCATGAAATTGCAGGCAGGGGAGGGGCAGGTGGAGGGAAAAGGATGTATACGGTTGACTGTCAAATCCTGAGGCAAATCTGTGTCTGTTTTCCTGTTGCCAATGGATGCATTTGGTGTGAATCTTGCAGCGGGTTGTCATTTCTGCGCAATCCTGGCGGTTTGATCTCGCCTTTCCGAGGGGTCGCTTGTTTGCCTGCTTGTAGACTTACTGACTCGGCAACTTAGGTTCAGGTCAGTCATGGACCCACTGTGGAGGGGAGTTTGGATGGTTGTTTCCCACCTCATACATCAATCAAAGGCTGTCGAATCATCCCAGGTACTACGAATCCCCCATGGAGGCGGCCAAGGGCGCAGCTGCGGCCGGGGCTGCGACCCCGCGGCCATGGCCACGCGGCCGCGCAAATTTGCGGTCACGTAGCGGCCAGTTTTTTTTTTTTTTTGGGGGGGGGGGGGGGGGTTGCTTCCCACCTCTTACATCAATCCAAGGCTGTCAAATCATCCCAGGTACTACGAATCCCCCATGGAGGCGGCCGTGGGCGGCCAAGGCCGGGCCTGCGACCCTGCGGTCATGGCCGCGCGGCCGCACAAATTTGCGGCCACGTGGCGGTCAGTGGGGGGCGGCGGTTGGGAGGTGGATTGGGGTGGCGCAAGCCCAGCCCCACCCCCTCAAAAATAAAAGGAAAAAAACCAATTTCCTGGGGAGTGGGGGGGTGGGGGGTTTGTTCGTGATGAATGATGATAAGAAAAGAAACAACAAAAAAAAATTACACGTTTTTTTCCGTTGATTTATTGATTAATTGATTGATTCATTGATTGATTGGTGGGGGAGGGGTCGCCCACCGCCCGCCCCAGCCCCCACGTGTGCGCACACACACAAACACACACATAGAAGTGTGGCAGTGTATATTTCCATGTTCTAGCGGAAGATTCATTCGATTTTGCTCATCCTATCGATGAAAGTAGCGTGAGGGCAGCCGCAGGGTTGGAGACTTGCCTGTTGTACACACACACACACACACACACACACACACACACACACACACACGCACACACACACACACGCGTGCGCGCGCTTACACACACACACATAATACACGCACACACACACATACATTCACACACACGTTCACACACGCACACACATTCACACAAACACACACATTCACACCCACACCCAGACACACACACACACACACATTCACACACACACACACATATATACTAATCGGTCCTCACAAAAAAACAGTACTATATATATATATATATTTCATGTGGCTTTTCCCTTCCGGATTTCTTTGCCCCAGATTTCTTTGCCTCTTTGCCCTTTGGCTGTGTGCAAGTGGGGCGATATGACACACGGGGGTGGGGGCAGCCGCTGCTCAACCTACATCCACGTGGGCGGCCTTGTACGCAAGAGGTTCTGGACAGGGGGAGTTGTAAGTAAGAAGATCAAAAATTAATTGATATCTTTTTTGTTTCCTTTTGTTTCTTTTCGCTTTTGCGCTCTGATAACTTTGTGACAATATATTTTTCATTTCTTGATTTTTTCCTTACAAGGTATTACACAACAAAACAAAAACAAAAAAATACATAAAATCGAAGAAGACAAAGAACTGCCAACCAAAAATTCCCCCCCAATTTTTTTTAAAAATTATAATTTCTCTTCTCCACCTTCTCTGTTTTTTATTTTTTATAACTCCCTAAATTTAATTGTTTCCTTAAAAAAAATATGGGGCGGCGCACTTCTGTGGTGCGCCATGCACCGTGCGCAAAGTGGTGATGCGCTGATTTTTGTTTTGTTTTGTTTTGTTTTTGGATGTGTGTACACACACACGCACACACACACACACACACACACACACACACACACACACACACACACAGAGAGAGAGAGAGAGAGAGAGAGAGAGAGAGAGAGA